GGATCAGGATGCCTCAATATCGGCTCGGCCACAAACGCTTTCTTTAAAGTTTCAAAAGCCTGTTGTTGTGGAGGCCCCCACCGGAATGGAACCTTCTTACGAAGGAGCTGAGTGATAGGATCCATTAGCTTAGCAAAACCTGGAATGAAGGTCCTATAGTAATTGGAGAACCCCAGAAGACGTTGCACGTCCTTTACTCGACGAGGGGCTTCCCAACTACACAAGGCCTCAACTTTTTTAGGGTCCATAGCGATGCCCTTGGGAGAGATGATATGCCCTAAAAACTCTATTGAAGACTGAAAAAAGAAACACTTCTCCAGTTTTGCATAGAGCTTATGCTCCTGAAGACGCTGCAGCACTTGACGGACCTGATGAAGGTGGTGATCCCTGGACCGGGAGTAGATCAAAATATCATCCAGATACACCATGACAAACCTATCCAGCATATCCCGAAAAATGTCGTTCATCAAATGCTGGAATACCGCAGGAGCGTTGGTCAGACCAAATGGCATGACAGTGTACTCGAAATGACCATAACGAGTGCCAAACGCCGTCTTCCACTCGTCCCCCTTGCGCATCTGAACCAGGTTGTAGGCCCCACGCAGATCGAGTTTAGTGAAGATAGTAGCCTCCCGCAACCGCTCCATTAATTCCAGAATGAGCGGCAAAGGATAACTATTCCTCACTGTGATAGAATTTAATCGGTGATAATCACAACGTAAGCGTAATTCTCCCGACTTCTTTTTAACAAAAAGAACGGGAGCTAAAAGAGGAGATGACGATGGTCGAATAAATCCCCGAGCCAAGTTTTTGTCTAGAAACTCTCGAAGCGCAGCCAACTCAGCCTCTGACATGGAGTATAATCGACCCTTGGGCAGTGGAGCATTCGGTATCAAGTCCATGGGACAATCATAAGTACGATGCGGTGGTAATTGATCTGCCTCCTTCTCGCTGAAAACATCGGAGAAGTCCAACAACTCTGAAGGTAGAGAAACAGCAGGAGTGGCGATATCTTGACCGGCGCAGATATGTCTCAGATGGTCTACACATTGAAGACTTGGAAAAGAAATGGCATTCTGCGCCCAAGCCACCAATGAATCGTGCAAACGCAGCCAGGACATGCCGAGAACCAAAGGGAGATGAAGGTTCGAGGTGATATAAAAACTTATCGCCTCCTCGTGATCCCCAATGATCATACGCACTGGCTGGGTGGCGAAACGAATGGGCCCAGACTTGAGCTCACACCCATCCACAGTTTCCACCTTAATGGGTGGATCCACAGCAACCAATGGGATCTCATAGTGCATAACAAAAGCTCGGTCCATAAAGCTGGTTGTAGCCCCTGAGTCCACCAACGCAACAGCGGGAATTCCCTCCTTCTGGGACTGTAGAAAGATTCGAGTATACAGAAGTAAATGCCGAGGAGGGCCAGGATTTGCTTCAGCAATTTGAGGTGGGGATGGAGGATGTGCCCGACCTAGGGTTTCCCTGAGGTCGGGCCTACCCCATTTCCCGACGGGCCAGGAGTGGTTTCAGACACAGGTCGGCGAGTCCTTCTCCGAGTGCAGGAATTTGCAAAATGTCCCGGACCCCCGCAATAAAGGCACAAGCCTTCCTGAAACCTTCTCGAACGTTCTCGCGCTGTTAAATGAAGGCGGAATGCTCCCAACTCCATCGGCTCTTCCGTCTTAACCATAGTTTGTGAATGAAAACGAGAAGGTGGTTCCACAATGGGCCGTCTGCTTCCGCGCTGTTGTAAACGGGCTTCAATACGTAAGCACTGTATCACTAATGCATCCAGGGTTGAAGCCCGCTCTGCATGTACTAATTCATCCTTAATGGTATCAACCAAGCCCTCCTGAAATGCATCCATGTGGGCTGGTTCATTCCAGTTAGAGTCCATACAGAGTAAATGAAATTCTGCAATGTATTCCTGCAGGGAACGTTTACCCTGATTAATGTCCCATAACCGTCTAGCCACAGTTTGACTTTTAATTGGGTTTTCAAACATAATCCTCATTTGTTGCAGAAAACCCTGAAAATTATCCAGTAAAGGGCTATCTTGAGTTAACAAGGGAGTAGCCCATTTGGCAGCCTGCTCAGACAAAAGACTAATAATAAATCCTACCTTAGCCTGGTCATTTGGAAAGTCTTCAGGCCTCAAGGACATAAATAATTGACACTGCCCCAGAAATGCTGGAAACATGTCCATTTGTCCTGAAAATTTCTCCGGCATGGATACCGGGCTTTTCCTGAAGGGAGGGGCTGAAGGAGCAGCAGGAATTTGCAAGCTTGAAATATGATTCACCAACTGGGTTACCTGGTTTTGGAGGGTCTGGTTACTTTGTAACAGCTGGTTTATTTGTTGCTGTTGCTGCTCCACCAAATGCTGCAGTTGAGTTGTATCCATCTCGGTTTGAAGATGGTTTGTTTGGGCTTGGAAGCAAAAATGTTATGTCTCACCTATATTCATAGATGAGAAGACAAGGTTTCAAAATTCAAAATATTCAAGCAGAAACAAAACCGAATTCAAAAGGATTAAATTAGCACAGTTGTCCAGTCTTTGGCAGACTTCCCGGAACCTGTCAGGCTAATCAAAATTGTCCATAACTCACAAAGCCACTTCAAATGTATTCTTCCGTCTCATCAAACACTTTGCTTCCAAGCAAAGCCTGAGAGTCAGCACGCCTCTTTAAATCACCTGGATAGGCGTGTCAGTCTCTCCAATCAATGTTTGTCCTGATGCCTCCCTTCAGATTGACGTTTCCTGGTTCTTCTAGTTCTGGCGTCAATCCACGATCTATCAGTTTCCTCGCTGGAAACTTCTGTCTCATTTGCTGGTCTGAACGAAGTTGAAGGTTCTGGGGAGGATTGTCTCTGTGACAATCTTTCATCCTCCTGGCTCACGTCTGTGTCCTCTGATAATTCAGACTCCACATTCATAGCAGACTCCAACCTTACATTGTCAGAGTCATCAGAGTCAAAACTCCCAGCAGGATCAATCCTTCCAGTCACAACAGGTAACCATGACGAGACCCTGTTCTTTATTGTGGCCCCTGGGATGGAACAGCCTTTAATATTGGGACTGCCCTGGCTCCGAAAGTGGAATCCCCATGTGAATTGGAGGAAAGGGTGGATATGGATTTGCACTGATAGGCGGCCGGAAAAGGAGGAGCGATCCCATCCGAAGCTTCAGAACCCAGTTGAGTCAGCCTCCACACGTGCCGAGAGCTTGGAGGGAGAGGAGAAAATCCCAAAGGAATATTGGGACTTGAGAGAGGTGTTTAGCGAAAAGGCATCTGATGAGCTCCCCCCTCATCGTCAACTGATTGTAGCATTGAATTTCTACTGGGGGTGACGCTTCCGAAACCAAAACTGTATTCGATGACACCAAGGGATTTGGAGGAGTTGAGATCGTTTATCGATAAAAATTTGAAACGTGGTTTCATCGAACCCGCTAGACCTCGAGTGGCGGCCCCAGGGTTGTTCTGTGAAAAGAAAGATGACTCCAAACACTTGGTGGTTGACTACCGAAACTTAAACGCAGTTTCCGTGGAGAATGTGTACCCCCTCCCCCTGATGAAGGACATGTTAGCCCACCTGGCCAAAGGAAAGATTTTCAAAAAGTTGGACCTGAGGGAGGCATATTACCGAATCCGAATCAAAGGAGACGAGTGGAAAACTGTGTTTAATTGCCCGATGGGTTGTTTCCAGTTCAATGTTCTCCCTTTTGGCCTAGAGGGGGCGCGAGCAGTTTTCATGCAAATAATCAATCAAGTGCTCCATGAATATTTATACAAGGGGGGGTTGGTTTATCTTGATGACATCCTTATCTACATGGAGACTAGAGATGAACATGTGAAACTGGTGCGCTCAGTGCTGCACAAACTGCGAGCTGCCAAATTGTATGCTAAACTGTCCAAATGTGAGTTCCATCAAGAGAAAATGGACTATCTTGGATATCGCATTTCGCACAAGGGCATCAAGATGGACCCAGAGAAGATGCGAGCTGTATTGGACTGCCCCCCACCCCCCCGAGGACCTGAAAGCAGCTTCAGAGTTTCTTAGGGTTTGCCAACTTTTACTGGCAATTCATCCCGTCCTTCGCTAAAATAGCAATGCCTATCACCAATCTCTTAAAGACAAAGGGGGGAACGAAACCAAAGCCCAGCCAACCATTGAATTGGTCCATGGAATGCCAAGCTGCTTTTGAAAAGCTAAAGTGGCTGTTTGCTGCAGAACCAGTGTTGAAACACCCGGATATGGATGCCCCTTTCGTGATCCAAGCTGATGTGAGAGATGTGGCTGTTGGGGTGGTCTTACTTCAATTAAACAAAAAGGGAACACTACAACCTTGCGCATACACCTCCCGTAAGTTGATAGATACTGAGAGGAGGTTAGCCATCTATGAGAAGGAGGCTTTTGCGGTTCGTTGGGCTCTTCTAACCTGGAGACATTTCCTGGAAGGTGCGAAACATCCTTTTGAAGTATGGACTGACCACAAGAATCTGGAGGCCTTAAAAACACCTCGAAAGTTATCTCCTAAGCAAGTTTGGTGGATCCAGTATTTCAAACGATTCAACTTCTCTTTGAAGTACATCCCGGGAGGAAAAATTTTTATGGCAGATGCTTTATCTAGAATGCCTCAATACAATAGTATTTGTCAAGTAGTGATAAGGCCAATCATGTCAACCACCCAGCTGGCTGCCCCGGTGATCACCAGAGCACAAAAGAAGAAGCAAGAGGCGGAGCTGTCCAATGACTTGATGGAACGATTTAAGAAAGCGTTGAGAACCGATGAGTGGTTCCTGGCGAATGCGAATAACTGCACCGTTAGAGATGGTTTGGCCTGGGTGGGAGCGAAATTGTACATACCACAGATTTTGAGAAGCCAAGTGTTACAACACACCCATGATTCCAGGGCAGCTGGTCATTTTGGTTTCGTGAAGACCCTACGCCTGGTTAAGTGGCAGTTCTGGTGGCCCTCACTAAAAAAGGACATGGAGACTTATGTAGCTAGCTTCCCAGTTTGGAAGATCCCCTTCAAGGAGGTACACCTGATGCAGGTAGACCTCAAGGCCTACTGCCTCGCCCTGCAGAGGAAGGTGGAGGCCTGGTGGGCGCGGCCCCCGGAGGAGGCAGCCCCGGCCAAGGTGCCCCCCAAGATGGAGAGGTGGGATGGTGGCTGGACCAGGAGGGGTGCCCCCGAGCCAGGTATGGCGGCAGGGGAGGGCGGGGAATCTGTGGGGAGAGCAAGGGAGAAAGGTTGGTTGGGGGGGAGGCTGTGGGCAGCAGTCAAGGGGAGCCTGCTGGGCCCGATAGTCGGGGTCCAGCCGTAGCCACTTAAAGGCCTGTGGACCGGCGGTGGGACTGAAAATGTGTTACTAGCAGTTCTGTCGGTGTGGCCTGCTGGTGGGGGCGCAGGGGAAGGATATACTGCAAAATCCCCCTTCCCTCCCCACCCCACTGACCTGCTTTCCAGCTCCGTTCTCCTCTGCAGGGCGACCAAAGGAGACCCAGCCGGGAGTCAGTGGGACGCAGAGCCAGTCAGAGGTGGCTTTCTGAACTACTCAAATGTTCCACTCACCGTTCTCCAGAACTGGTCAGAACCTGCTGAATACACCACCTCTGCTGTGGACTTCAACTCCCAGAATTCCATAGCCAGCTGTGGTGGCTGGGGAATTCTGGGATTTGGAAGCCCACAGGTCTCCCAAGTGGTCACGGTGGGGCTCCAAAGAGGCAGGGATGCCCCAGGTCTCTCTTGGCTGAGAGACAGAGAGAGAGCATCCAGGCTGGCATTGCTCGGTGAGACTCCCACGGGCACCATATTGGCTGCCTCCATCCTGGGTGGTGCCTGGCTTTGTGGAGGACCAGCCCCCCCAGCTGAATCCATGGGTCCCTCCCCCTCTGGGGATCCCTGCTCAGGATCCGATTCCTCCTCCTCGCTCTGCTGCAAACGGGGCTCCTTCCCTGGATGGAGGAAGCCCTGCGTTTGGGGTGAGATCTCCCTGACTCAGCACTCCCCACCCTCAGCTGTGCTGGTGGTGATGGAGGAGTGGGAGAAAACTTCCCCCCTCCTCACCCCCAGGCCATTCTTCACAGCTTTCCTTTCGTCTTTCTCCTTTTCCCTGGGCCTGTTGGGTGCCCTCTTGGACGAGCCCTCTGTTCTGTGGAGCCCAGCAGCCAGTTGCCAGAGGGAGGGTGGGAGCTCCAGAACCCGGCCTGGTAGCTGTCCGTGTGTCTGTCTGCTCACCTGCTGGCCTTCCTTCTCTCCAAGCTAACGGGGGGAGCCTTCTCTTCAAGCAGCCGCTGCACTTGGGGATGCTGAAGTTGGAGGAACCAAGCAGCTGGGCCTTTCCTCTCCGGCTCTCCCGGCGACACCTGGGGCGCCAAAGTAAGAGGCCCATCCTGGGACAGTAGGGGAGGGAGCGAGGGGGGACTTCTGGGACCGTTCACCCAAAGGGTCCTTAGCTTTCATTTCCCCAAGCGCTTCCTACCCCCTAGTTCTTTTTCCTTCAGCCCTGAGACGACCACCGGCCCTCACAGCCTGAGGCTGCTACTCAGGGTTTAGTTTCTGGCTCTGGGACACAAGTGAGAAGCCGCAGGGCATCTTTTGTGGTCCATTTTTCAGCCCCCCAACCGGAGAAGCGGCACCCGCTGTTGGGGCTGGGCGCTTCCAGTATTTGGCGCTGCAAGCGATCCCACACTCCCATTTCCAGCAGAGGAAGGACTGGTACAAGAACACTGACCAGGACCTGCGCGATTACGTGGTGCAGAGGCTGTGAGTAACCTTTTGGGGTTGTGGGGGGGGGGGCTGAACTGTGGTGGGCTGCAGCTTGGAAGGGGCAGTGAGGAAATGGCAAAGAAAAGCGGGGCGAAAGCCTCTGATGTTTCGTGGGGAGAAACATAAGAAAAATAGACGTGTCCGATCGCTCGGCCTTTTGTTCTGCTCCCAACATCTCTGTCTGCTGGAGTTTTTGGGGTTCTGAACAAAATCTGGGTTCCCTGGCTTTCCACCCTCCTTGCAGCATCTTGGGGACTATAGAAATAGTGTTGTTTTTAAATACCTCCATGGAGATTTTCAGTCCTCCAGGCCTCCCATGCTTCTCCCAAGGGTGCTTTTCCAAGAGGAATCTGCCACCTCCCGAAAAGGCACCTTTGGGATCTAAAAAAACCACCACCACCACCACAGTCCATCCATCTGGCCGCCATGGCGGCTGCCGTGCCCATGTTTTTGCCAGTCCTGCTGAAGGCCGGCGGTCTTTCCCCCCCACCCCGCAGGGTCCATGCCATCTTCCCCACTCCTGACTTGGCCCTCCTGAAGAATCACCAGGTGGAGAAGGTGGTGTCCTACGCCAAGAAGGTGGAAGGGGACGTCTACCAGTTGACCAACCACTGGGTAGGTGGCCAGGCTCTCCTCCTCCTCCTCACCCAGAAGGAGGCCCCTTCTCCCGCGCTCCTGCCCAGCCGGGGCTCCCCACCCGGGACTGACCAGCCAGACCTGGGCTTCAGGTGGTTTCTCTCTGCCTGGGCCTTGGGGGGGTCTCCCCATCCAGCCTTGTGCCCCCTCCCCCCGGCAACCTCACCTCCCGCCTCCCAAGGGGAAGAGCCCAGACAGAGGCCTCCAGGGACCACTCTCGAGCTGGAAGGAGGGGGCAATCTTGGGTTCTCTTTAAGAGCTGAGTTGCTGAAGGCTCTGCTGAGGCCCAGGGAGGAGACAGCCATGGGCACGGCTCTAGACTTGCAACAGTCTGTTTAGTGACCGGTCGAAGTTACAGCGGCAGTAGAAAAAAAAAGGGACATGACTGTTTTTCACAGTTACGACTGTTGCCGCATCCCCTTGGTCACGTGGTCAGCACCAAGGCCCTTGGGAAATAACTCGCATTTATGACGACTGCAGCGTCTGGGGGAAGGGTGTCACCTGATCTCCAGGCAAGCAAAGGCAATGGGGAAACCCAGATTGAATGACTGTGGCACTAACTTAACTGCAGTGATTCACTTAACAACTGTGCCAGGAAAGGTTACAGAACAAGGCAAAATTCACTTACCCGTCACCCGGTCCTTCAGGGCTCACCCAGGGATGGCCGAGGGCTCCTTTCCTTGCTGTCCTCTGCCTGGCCCAGCGGACGCAGCTGCCTGCCCTCTCCCCTCCGCTGCCCTCCTTCCCGGCCTGGGACGCGGAAGAGGAGGACAGAGGCTCCGCCTTCCTCCCCTCCTCCCAGTTGCTCCTCCGCTGATTCTGCGGCTGCAACTCTTCTGGCGCCGCCTTTGGGAGAGAAGTTCCCGCCTGGCTCTGAGGTGGAACCGTCGTTGCTTCCCAGGATGTGTATTGCTGCCTCATTATGGTGAAGCTCTTCAAAATAGAGAAGGAACTGAGGGAGAAGAGGGCCCTCCGGGGCCACAAGCAAGGCATCGCGGACGCCCAGGCCTCGCCCAGGGGACCAGCCCAGCCTGCGGTGCCTCTCGGTAAGTCCTCCGCGGGGAAGCCAGGGGAAACGGGGAGACCTCTGGGTCTGGGCGTGTCTCGGGAACCTGGGGGGACTCGTTGCCTGCTTTTCCTCCTCTGGAGAAGTGCCCTCCTCACTTGGGTAGATGCCAGCTTGCTATGGACGGTGGGGAGGGGGAGGGAGCTGCCCGGGAACCCGTTGTGCTTTCCTGAGGCATCAGCTGATTGTCCCAAGGCCAGGGGCCGGGAAGTGGAATGCAACGGCCCCTCCTGATCTACCGAAACCATTCGTTGGAATGTAACTGGGCAGTAGAGAGATGACGGGGGAGAGGAACGAGGAAGGGAAAGTTAACGGGGGGAACTTTCGGGTGCAGATTTTTAGTTCTGGCTTTGCTGCGTTGTATCCCCTCATCTCTCAGTAAAAGTTTATCTCTCGCCCAGCTGGAGTTGAGGGTGTCTCTTTCCTAAGAACCCAGGTTGGGGCAGGCATGACATCAACTCTGGCCGCTGCTCGAGAAGAATTTCTCCCCTGTCAAAAGAGCCGGGTTTTGTGAGAGGTGGGCTTCCTCTCGCCAAAGTTGGGCAGGGCCTCCTGGTTGCAGCTGCTACATGTTGCTGACAGCTCCCTGAAAGTTGGCAGGAAGAGCAGGCCGCCCTTGGGGACAGCTTCCTGGTCCTGGTGTGGAAGACAGGTCCTTCCATCAGCCAGGATGCTTTCTGGGGTTTTGTGTCCACTGGCTGGGGTGTAACGGTTGCTTCCACACGCACCCCAAATAAAACGTTTCTCTGGAGGAGGTCAGTTGGCGTCTGCCCATTGCTTCTTCGGGTTGCCCTGGGTCACAGCTGTCTTTCAAAAGTCCTGGACGTTCAAGGATGGTTGATTGACAGGCTGGACCGGTTCAAGGCAAGAGACGGGCAGCTGTCCCTTTGAATGGCCGCTTTTCCCTCTGTGTTAGGTGGGCCTCTGGGACGATGGCTTCTTCGGGCTCCTTTGGGCTTCGTCGGTGGCTTTCTGGGCAGTTTTGGTTCTGCCAGTTGTGAAGAGTCTTCCATCACAGCGTCTTCCTTGCCTCCGGTCCAGCTGGCCACAGGCTCTGCCTTTTGGCTAACGGAGGCCGTTTTTAACAAAACAGCCTCGTTTCAGGCGGCATTTTTTTGCTCTGTGGAGTCCGGCAGGGAACCGGGCGTTACGAAGCCTTCACTTCTCTGTTGTGCTTGCTTTGCTGATCCGTTGTGCGTGTCCAAAATGTCCTCACTGGGGTTGGAAAAGTCCAGGTTATGTTCCTGCATGTGTGTGTGTATGTGTCTTGGTCAGAATGAGGGCCACTGCAGTGTTGGGGGCTTTTCCGCCTCCCTTCCCAGCTTCTCGAAGGATTTGGGTCTGCCGTTTTTTGTGGTGGTGGTGGTGGTGAGTTTGGAGAGGAGAGCCTTGGTTTTATCTCTGTTGATGCTCTTTAATTTTTCCCTCCAACCTCCCAACTCAACATGGCGGCTAATTCGGCTGCTGGATTGCAGCTTCAGGAGCAAAACCCTCGTCTGCTGATGTCCGGCTTGTGACGTGACCGACTCCGGATTCCCCGCAGGGAAGTTCTGTCCCCGAGGGAGGAGAAACACCCCCCCCCTTTCGTTCCACTGCCGGAATCGACTTGATCCTTGGCCAGATCAGGGCTGGGTCTGGCAGATCTCCCAGATCAGGGCTGGGCATGTTTTGTGCCCTTTCCCGCCCTGTAGGGGATCCACCCTGCCAGGCCAACAACCTTTTGGTTGTTTCCGGAAGCGTTCATTCTGGCCTCTCTGACTGCCACTTGCCGTCTTTCCTCCTCTTCTCCTTCGGGTGCTCCCTCCCCCACCCTGGCTGGGAGCTATTCTCGGCCCTCCCCCCGGACTGCCTTGGATCGTGGCCCCGGGGGGCCCTTCGGCTATTAGGTCCCTTTCTGGCCAGGGTTCCCTGAAGCAGCCCAAGCCCCTGTTTCCAGCCTCCCTTGTCCAGACTTTAACCTTGACACCCCAACATGGCCGGCGTCCTTGTCTCCTTCCCTGACAGGCGGGGGAGCTGCATTCCCCGGAGCCCCAAGAGGCGAATCTTCTCCCCCTTCACTTGTGGGGTGGTGGAAATAAAGAATGCCTGGATTGGTGTTTTCAGTCGTGGACGGATTTTCAGTGGCTCTTCTTGTGCGCCGCCCAGAATAGCCTTCTGTGAGATGGGCAGGAACATCCGTGGGATATAATCAGTGGACAAATACAAGGGGAACGCTCTCTGCGGCTGCCTTCCGGTGATTCTGGTCCCGTATCCTGTCTCCTCCTCCAGGTGGCCCATTTTAAGCATATGAGGTTTATTCCTTCCGAGGTCTGAGTGTTTACTGACCGCTCAGAAGCCAATTGAGCTGGACAGCTGGTCTCTTTCCTCTCAGGGCTTCGGCGGCCATGATGAAATCTCCTTTTCTGAACAATCCGAAGACACCCTTGTCCCCCAGCCTGGTCCTGAGAGGCCCTTCCTGTCCCTCGTGCCTGGGGCACCTCCCAGCTCCCCCCCCCCGAAGGCCATGTGGGTTTGGGTTAGTCCCTCAGGATGCTCCCCACAGGCGATCCCTTCAAATTGCAAGACTATTTTCCATTAAGGGAGCCTCTGTGGGCGGAAGGCAGAGGTGGTGTTCAGCAGGTTCTGAGCAGTTCTGGAGAACCGGTAGCGGAAATTTGGAGTAGTTTGGAGAACGGGGTAACCTTCCCCCAGGAGCGGGGAGGGAATGGAGATTTTGCAGTATCCTTCCCCTGCCACGCCTGCCAAGCCACGCCCACAGAACCGATAGTAAAAAAAAATTTGAATCCCACCCCTGGGTGGAAGCAAGTTGGCTTTGATGATCCTCCAGGGTTAGGGTGAGGGCAAGTTGCGGGAACTGAGAAGCCCTTTCGAGCCAGGCTAATGAGCAAACCCTCCTGACCGAGTTTGGCCAAGATGCGAGACTCTTCTTAACCTGGTCAGTTTTCTACTCGGATGACTTTGTCTTTCAGCAGAAACGCGGTTGAAGAGGCTGAAGAGGGTTGTGTGTTTTTATTGCAGGCAGTCAGCTGGCCGCCCCGGGAGTGCCTCCGAGCCCCACCCAGGACCCCCCAGGTATACTTGCTTTCACTTTCGCTTTTTGTAGCCAGCCTTCCCATCTCGCGGCGGCAGCTTTTCCTAACCCCAAGAACCCCGACAGGGAAGCCAACTCGGACAGGAGAGGCTGAAGCGATGGAGCCGTTTCCCACCATCGCTCCAGCAAAGGATTCGGCTTCTTCTGTTCGGCCCGGCCAAAGAGGGGCCAGGGCGGGGAGCCTCGGTCGCCCGACTGGCTCTGGGGCAATGCCCGGGAGTCTCTTTGCAGGCGCAGCCCCCTGCCTCCCTTCCCCAATTGGACGGGCAATTTGGGGAAGTCCAAAAGGTTTCTCTCTGCAGGTGGCGTCAAGCTAGCCTTCCCTTGAGCCTTTGCGAGTTTCCCTGCTTCTTGCGGGCAGGCAGTTTTTCTGTCTTTGCTTAACCCAGATTTGGAGTTTAGGGTGTCGTGTGAAGCCGTTGGTTTCACTGCCAGGGGTGACTCTCACGGCCAGAGTTGGGGCTGGGAGCCCGTGGCATTCAGACGCAGCCAGCTGAGCTGTCCTGGGGTACCTTTTGCAGGTGTCCCTCCGCTGAACCCCATGTCCATTTGGACCATCCAGATCTCTCCCATTTTGCTGGACCTCCTGGCGGCCCCCCAGACAAGCCCGCCTGCTCAGACCCACGGCGAGGAAGCGGCTCCGGCGGTTGGTTCCCCCTCCCCCCAGCCCTTCACTGCACCCAGATGCTACACTGTGTGGATCTCACCCTGTTCAGATGTTAATAGCGTGACTCTCCGAGGCGGGCAGGGCAAATACACTGCGCGGGGGAGGACTCACTCCTGCAGAATCGGTTTGCAGCTGTGCTGATCCTAAACGGGGAGGAAGAGTCCTTTTCCCACTCCCATGTGTGGGTGGGAAAATTCCTGTGTGGTGGGTTCAGGTCTGGAGAAGCCGCCGGCCCTCATCTTGGGTCCGTTCCCCTTTCGCCTCGGAGTCGGTGCCCCTCGCACCCCAGTCTTGTAGCCTGATGGTCCATCTTGTTTGCTAGGTGCCCGCCAGTTCCCCTTGGCTGCCTCAGCCCCAAAGTGCAACAAGGGCCTCTTTGGGCACCTTCCCGAGCCCTCCACCGGCCCCCGGCCAGTTCCTTCCCCCGCATCTGTTTCCTGCCCCCCTTGGAGCTCTGGACGCCAGCCTGGGCATCCTGGGGGAATCGGCTCCACAGGACGGAGGAGCCCAGGTAGGCCTGGAGGGCTGTGTGTGTGTGTTTGTGTGCTCCGTTTCCCTTGCCCACTTGCGGGGAAATTGAAGGTTTTAGCTGGCAAAGGTTTTCGTATTCGGAGGGTGTGTGTGTGTGCGTGTGTGTGTGTGTGTTCCCTGAGAGGTCGCGAGGGGCCCCTTCTCTCCTGCCCCTTCCTGGGCCCTTGTGGGCAGCAGAATCGTTGGCCACCTGATGCCACAACCCCCTACAGGGGGGCCCAGCCTGCCAGTTGTGGCTGCTCCTGCATGCGCTGTGACTGGTCCTGAAGACTTGGGGGGGCTCAGCTTGCCCCCCCCTCCTTCGGTCAGGGCGGGGGCCCTTTGCAAAGAGGGGCCCCTGGTGGGGTTTGATGAGTTTCTGGATGCTCCGCTGATGGTTCTTTCTCCCAGCAGGGCCAGGACCCAGGCTCCCCCCCACTCTCACTCTGTGCCCGCCGTGACCCTTCTGCCTCCTCACGCCTTGCCAGGGGCCCAGAGTCAAAGTGCATCCTTGGGGCCGATGGCATCGGCGGCAGCAGCAGTGGGCCTGAGCCTGGAGTCCCCTTCCCAGCAGCAGCCCCACCCACCCTGCCCGAAGTCAGCCCCGGGCCCTGGCACCCTGGTGAGTGGGGCCTCTTGAGTCGGCCTCTCAGCAAGAGCCCCAAAATGGTGCCAGGAAGGTTTCTGGGCTGCTTCTTCTACCGGGTGGGGGTTGGAGGTGGGGGAATATTGGCCCCACCCCTTTTCGCTTCCTTTTCCGCTTCGGCTGTTGTGCCAAAGGATCCTTGCAAAGCCCAGTTGTGGCTGTTCTGGATGCCTCTGCCTGAGGAGGGAAGCCACCGGGGGGGGGGGGATGGAGTCCCCAGGTCGAGAGGGGCTTCCTGTTTGCCAGGAATTCCGCGGAGAAGCTCCTGGTTTTGCCTGAGCTCCCTTCCTGGCCTGCCATGGCTGACTTTCCTTTCCACCAGGGGGACCCCCACTTTGGGACCAGAGAGGCTGCCTCCCATGGGCTGCTGGGTAAGCTGAGCGGGTCCTTCCATGCCTCCCCAGTCTTGGGCCCCTCCTGGAGGGCCTGGGTGGCCCCCTGACCTCTGCCTTCTCCCCTCCCCCCGAGCCCTCAGGTGGAAGAACCCCTCCCACCGGCTGCCCTGAAGAAGGCCGGTGGGAGCATGGCCAGGGCTGCTTCCCCCAGGCTGGTCAGAGGGACCTGCTGCCCCTTCCCGGGAGGGTGGGGGGTCCCCTGGTGAACCCCAGCCCTCCCCAGGGTCTTGGGGAGTCGAGCTCTCCAGCACCATCCTGGAGCCACTAGGGCAAATGTCCCATCCTCCCCTCCCCTGCCCCCCTCCAGGATGGAACCCTCTGCCCCACAGGAGCAAACCTCTGTCTGCCTGGGCCTCAGGTGCTCCCAGAGGCGTAGAAGGTGCCCTCTCTTTGCAGGTAAACGCCGGAGACTGGCCGAAGGGGGCTGGAGTGCCTCCCCTGCTGGCCCCTCCCCTTTGGCCCTCCCCGATGCCCCGGCGCAGCCACCTCCGGTGACCCTCGAGTCCCTTCACCGTTTGCTGGAAGACTTGCGCATCTCTGTCCTCCGCAACCGTAAGTGGGGCGGCCCCTTCCGTGACCTCCCCCTCTCCCAACCTGTGGGTCTGTTCCAGCAGGGTGGCAGCCCCTTCCCCCTCCTCCCTCTCCCCCCCCAAAGCCCCTCCTGACCGTCCCCGGTTGCCTCCTTCCGCAGTTGGGGCTGTCCATAGGCAGATGGAGGCCCTGGAGAAGAGGATCCACATGCTGGAGCGCTGGCGGGCAGAGACGGAGGGGCGCCAGCAGCTGCCACCACCATAGCCGATGGCTGGGCTCCCTTCCTCCCCTTGTACAGACGCCCTGTTCTAAGGACGGTTCCGCCTTTGCTTCCCTTTGTATTCCTCAAACGTCAGACAATTTTCACTCTGCTCCTTGGATGGCAGCGTCTGGTTGCTGAGACGGGCCTCCCCAGCATGTCACCCCGTGGTTCGTCCGGTGCCGGGTGGCCCTGGAGCCCAGTGCTGGGGGAAGGGATGGCCTCTGAAGCCGAGGCCGCTCCAGAAACTGCCCAGCCGCCTCTGGGCCCCGGAGAGCATTGGGGACGAGTGGGGGAGGCACAACATTTGGGAGGCCACACGGAGCCGAGACCAGGGAGAGGAGGCCCCGGTGGGAGCTGGGCTTCTCTGGCCGGTCTTGGGCGGGGGTCGGCATCTCCCTCGCCTGGAAGATCAGCGGACGCTCGGAGCTCCTTCCCCTCACGACTGAGAACCACGTGCCTGACTCTGGGAGCATCCTGGGACAACTTCAACCATTCCGCCTCCATTAATGTGGCTGCCCCAGGAGAGCCGGATAGGGACAACAATGGCTTCACCTCTGTCAGCAGCCGCCTCTCCCGCCCTGGACTGGCTCGCCTGCTGAGCGAGGGGGCCTGAAGCGGGAGGGAAGGCTGTGCTGACAGCGGAACTCATCCCCGCCCGGAAGGTGGCGATGTGTTGCCTGGCCCTTCGGCTGCCTGGACAGTGGCGGGAGGCCCATGTGAGCCCTCCTGGGTCCAAGCGGGAGGGGAGGCACAGGGGGGTTTACGGCTTTGGGATGGATGCGAAGCAGTTTGAGTGGGGAAGGGACCCGG